TTGATACTGAAGGCAGCCAACATGAGCACAGGTTTTCCCCACGATGTAGAATTCAGTTGCAAATTGGTGAGGACTACTTGCAATAAAAGTGAAGCAAAACACATGATCTTACAGTGTTAAGTTGCTTATGTTCCTCTGAAAACAGCAGGTATTTCTTATTGTACTGCTCTGCTCGACGCATCTTCTAAGCATTCTGTTCACTGCTCCTAATTTACCTCTCCAGTAGTACCTTGCACTTAACCTTACTAGCCCCTCAAGCTTAAGTAAATTCCCCAACAGTAAAAACTTAACTCAAGTTTCATTCACTTTAAGGAACTGCTTCAGCCTCTAGGGCAATTTTCAGGTATTTCCACAGTTGTTCTTGTGATTTTCACTACTCCATTATTTGATAAGCATATCTAATTTCTCGACTGTTTAAGCAGGGTGTATGCTCTACTTCCTTTATTTCACAGTTTCATTAATTCACACTTATTCATCCTTCCAAACAGCTTTCTGGAAACAGACAACAGTTGTAGCAACTGGGATATGGTTAAAAGGACAGCAACATCAGTTAATCCAGCATTCTGCACCTCTGTTTGGGTTTCTGTTTTAACATTTGAGGCCTTGTAGCTCTGCAAATTTGTTTGGGTATTCTTCAGTGTGGTGTTGTTGTATGTTGTTGGGTTTTTTTTGTTGTTTGTGTGGTGTGGTTTTTTTTGGTTTTTGTTTTTGTTTTTTTTTTTTCCCCTGGTTCTTTTTGGTTTTGTTTTTTTTTGTGGTTGGGTTTTTTTGTTTGTTTGTTTTTTTAATGTGACCTGAAGACTGGCAAAATTTATTTCCAACTTCAGCTCCTTCATGCATCAAGAATTATCCAAACTTTCCTCTATTATTACACAGTTTATTAAGTTTTGGTAATTTAGCCTCTATGAATTTATGTTATAGATCACCTTGGTGTGGAAACTGTGTTCTAGTAACATCTTTTTTGCATTTGGCATCCTTTCCTCACTCCATTTTTAAATTTCACAGCTACAACAGTGAAACACCTCTTACTAAACAGAATTAAATGCTTGGGAACACCACTGAAGGCTGATAGAATTTTTTGTCCCATGCATAACGCTGCTACAAAACACAAAAAAATCACCATTATAAAATTGGTTTTGTTGACTCCCCTCTACGTCATAATTAATGTGATTCCACATTAAAGAATAATTACCTCTAACATAGCATGGCTTTATTTGTGTTTGCATTACCTTAAAAAAATAATTGTCACTGACATTCATCTATTCTAAGGATTCTGACATTACTAAATCAATATTGCTATTGTATTTAATTAAGCTCAATGATTTTTTGTTTAAATAATGACACTTTCTCCCACACCATACAGCTAAATTTAAGGATACTCAAGACAGAAAAGTCTAAACTCACTACTATAGGCAAAAATTTCCTACCCATCACAGCCTTAATATTCCATTATTGTAGTGACAAATGACAGACAACTTGACAGGGTGCATCACTGACTAACACTATGTTGCCCTTGTCTTCAGACAACATGCAGGCAGCAACCAAGTAAAACTACAGATGCCCTCATGCAGGAAGAGCAATACAAAGAGTTTTAAAACATTGGTTCCAGACCAAATTAGAACATTAAGTAGAAATATCCAGAAATATGATCTCTTCCTCAGAAAGGAACAACATGGAGTCAAATGAGAAATGGGCAAAAAGTATTTGCCTGAAATTTGAATTCTGTTGTATGCATCCCATCCTACATAAAGACAGTATTAAGGAAAACTGGTAATTAAAGACCTAGACCTTTGTATAATGAAATGAGTATCTAGAAAACACATTCAGCAAGAGTTTAATAAACACTTCTTAGAACAAGTAGAATCCTTACATATTTTTAGCAGAGGCCTTCATCCCTACTGCCCAGGATGACAAAAAATAATTCCAAACCCTTAATGACGCTAACTCAGTATGTTATACTTAATTATTACCTATGTCCCCTTACACAGGCGCTGAATTTTTTCTTATGTTTCCAGAACATCATCTGTCCTTCCTTTGCAAGAGAGCCATCCAGCCTTAACTGAACTCTGGTGAATAACAAACTCTCAAAGCTCTCACAAAGAAAGATCAATAATCTGTAGGATTCACTTCAGAAGGAGACAGAAGGGATGGTACAGCTACATGTGATCCCAAAAGCCTGCAGACTGCTTTATTCTTCTATGATTCTTCCTGTTTTTCTTCGGAGAAAAACATGAAAGAAGTAGTACCATGTGATCTTTCAGGTCTAGTTGCTGGGTCTTGACCAGCAACTCCCTGAACTATGGGAAGAGGAAAATAATTAGTCCTATGGAACTTGAAGTACAGCCGAAATTTAAAGAAAAAGTTTCACATCAAACAAATTTTAAATACCAATTTAATTTTAAATTACAAAATAATTTTTTTAAAAAGTTTTGACCTTATTTTTTAGGGAGAAAAACGGCTTTATGAGCAAGTTTGCCTCATGTTGTCCTTTTTATTTCTAAAGACAAACTCGTAGATTATACCACTTCGGTTAAAATCCAAGAACAAGTGGAAAAGGAAATTAATAATTCACATCCACAAGGAAAAAAAAAAAAATCACTAGTGATGCAGATTCATAAAGATTAGAAGAAACACACTTTACTACTGAAATAGTCTCTGTTCATCCCAGTGCCTTCAAATAGAAATGCCTTTTAAAAATATGCTTATTTGTGCACTGTTGCTATAAAACGTAATTTTTAAATTTTGAGTATAAAAATAACTAATTATTCCAAGATAAGTCACTCATTCCCCATCTCTAATACTATCTTGCTTTCCTGAAATGTTTCTCAGAAAACCAAAGCATTACCACTCTATCGCAAGAGTGAGACTGAATCTTCTCTCTTACAAAACCCCAAATTTTATTCTAGTTGGAAAGAGATAAAACAGAAATACATTAATACCTTTTCACCAGTTTTAATCCTCTGACATCTATTTTGAAAACAGCAATAATTGCAGGTACTCTACCATGTGACATTGAATTTTCCACTCCCTACATTCATGCATTTCAGAGCACGTTTGCAATCTTCCAAGATACACAATTTCCCCCCATCTTATTAGAATTAACTCGGATTTCTTTTTTCCCCTCATGCTTACCCCAATTACTTAAAAGGTTTATGGCTTCCTCCATAAAAGTTTTCAGTTCATATCTTTTAATTATAAAACAGATTTTTTCAACTCTCAACTGCCTGAAACCACAACTTGATTAAACAACCATTTCTGATACTAACTGAATGGATGCAACAGGCACTGCAAAAAACAAGTCCACCAATATACTCATTCATTAGTATGTACTACACACACCTGTTTCAATGAGGCACAGCCTTCAGAAATTAAAGCATATAAACTTTTATTTCTTACATATGTAATAACCACTGTCCATATCTCTCATGCCTACATGTAATATATAAAGATGTTAATGAACTGACAGTGTTTTTCAACTAATGCTACAATTGGACAATAGTCAGACCTGTGTTATTGTTTTTTTCTAAAGGGATTTTTAAAATTCTGTAATCAGTATTATAGAGCTCCCCCAACTGATTATGTTACTCAATGAGAGAGAATATTTTCAGGACAAAGAGCTGGCTGACACTTTCATAACAAAAACCACTAATGTATTCAGGGTTTTTTTTGAGCATTATAACACACCCATCCTCCAGCTCCAGCAACCAAGAGTAGCACAAAAATGCACAAAGTATACATGTTAGTACCTCAAACACAATGGGGTTTTGTGACTTATCAGGTTACCTTGAACATGACCCTTCAGTCACATAATTCAGCAATAAGAGGTAGAAGAATCAAAAGATGTTTGAGAAAATAAGTTATGTATCACATTGAAGTTCAAGTTGTATGGGTTTTTTTCAAACTATTTGCTGCATGCTTATTAGAGAATGAATGTAAGGGTTTCAGATTTTGCTCATATTCTTTTTGCTCATAGTCTTTTTCTTATTACCTTTTCTAATCCTGAACATAAATTCAATCATAATGTGCTCAAGATCTCTTCAGTAAATGCATGAATTCTGCAGATCTGCTTTGTCTAGTTGTTGTCTGCTTTCAGAGACTGACAATATGCATTAAGAGATCTAAATTACATTTTTTCCCCCCATACCTTCTGCTTAATTTTCTACCATATTTTGATAATTCAAAAATTACATCTCTCTCCTGATCTTTGTTAACTTTAAAAAAAAGTGTTCTGAATAAATGTTCTTATGTGTCACCACAAGCTTCCTCACAGCTCGTCTATTAGCATTCACTAAGCACCCAAAATCACTAAGTCATTTTAATACCACCTACTACTTCCTTTCAAGATAATCTAAATTTTTCAGCATAATAAAGATCTAAGAGGAGGGCTCTCACAAGGTAGTTCTCTGTCCTGAAAAAGGTTTTAAGTCATCTGGCTGGGCAGAAGGCAGTTTGTATTATCAGGAAACACATATTACTGGACAATCCATTTTCCAGTTTCATTATGTTTATCTATCCTCAGTATACTGACAGCAAAGTTTTTTGATACAGTGTTCCTGAAGGGTTTTGTTATTTTCAGAAGGTGTTTAATGTGATGATCTAAGAAAACATGCCTTCTTTTCTTAAAGTATCAGAAACATCTCAAAGTGAAACACGAGCACGTCCTAGTTCCCCAGCCTTAAAGTGAAGCATCCTTATACTGAAAGAAGGTGAGAAAGTTAGTGTTTGTACCTTTTCAGCCCTGTCTTTTAATGGTAATGTGAATCCCCTGCTTCTATACATAAAACAGGCCAAAAAAAAAAATTCTTAAAAAAACATTCTGTTCTGAGGAACACTTCGATCCATGAGGAGACATTTAAAGATCACTAGAGTACTATAAAATAACAGCTAAACTTCATTTTAGGATGCTGCTCTGCAGGCTTACACTTACTGGTGCAATATTAACTGTATTCCAGAAGTAAGTTGTGGAAACAGAAATTGAAGACTTGCATAGAAATACTTACTGCAGGTATCAGTAACTTTTTTACTTCTTCAACAGCCCTCTTCAGTTTTATTTCTGCTCTGTTCTGAGCATCCTCCACAGTGATGAGGACATGTAAATCTTCGTTCAGGTGTTCCCAGTTGGGCTTGCCTCGGTTCTGCTCTTCCTAGAAGAAAAAAAAAAGTTATGAAGTATTTGTTACATTCTGTATAAAGCAATTGTATAAACAGTAGACAAACTCAATTCTGTGAACAGTATGAACTGTATTTTCAGCAAGATAGCAAAAGCCTTCTTCATACTGTAAATATTAAGTATTTACTCAACAAGAACTTAGGCTTAAGGGATTTTGTTTGTGTTTTGGAACATCATATGTTATTTTTTTTAGACCACAAAACAAATGTGATTTCTTAGAGTACCTTTCCCAACCGAACAAAGTAATAAGTAGTGCTACAAACCCAGTATTGCTTTCAAAATTCTTTGGAGCCCTTCAAGGGTTAAACAAATAAAACATATTTCTGGTTAAGCAACATAGTGTCTTCAAGAAAAGTGAAACAGACACCATACACAGAAACTCTATCTGGACCACTTCAAAGGACAAGAGAACAATTCTTCACTGCTAAAAATTGCTTTTAAATACTCATGAAGAAATGGTTCAAAAATCCAACATTACAAAATGAAGAGAAGCTGCAATTTCCAAAGCAGAGCTGCTTATGCCAGATGAAGGGCAGAAAGGGGGAGATGGCAAGACTTTAATACTGCAGGCAGAGTGAGTAGCACTTAACAAAATGATCACCATTATACAGGTACTCCGATACATCAATGGCATTAATAATCCCAAAGATAAATTTTAGGAATGTTTTCAAAAAGGGTGTGTATGCTAAACAGAACATTTTTTTGCTTGTCAGCATTTTTAAACAACAGATATTAGCAAATTTAAGTAACACATCCAAGTACCCAGTCTTTCAAAAAAAATAGATAACGAACAAAATAGAAGAAAGTTTCCAACTTTTTTTTTTCAAGTTTTATTCACTTTATTTCCCAGAAACCTGATTTATATTTCACAATATTAAAAAAGTAACAACTCACATTAAAAAAGAGGAAGGGGCTGTCAAAACTTTAGCAAATGAGAAAAGTTTATTACAACTTTTGAATCTAACCAAAAGCCCACAAAATACTTTTGTAAATTTTAAAATTCTAAGCATAATAAAAGAGCCTCCTATTTGTAAGACAAACATTTGTGGCTTAACCAAAATTCACACTTTAAATAAATTAAGGCAAGTAAAGTTAATTGCAACTGTGTCTTTTTCCCAAAACTTCATTAAAATTCTTCCAGGAAATCAGACATGCAGAGGAAATGTTTGATGATTTAACACCAAATACTTGCAGTATTTTATATTCATATATACGTAAGGGAAAACTGTTTCTTAGAATGTTCTACCTTTAATTCAGCATCTTTAAGTCTGAAACGTTTTGTGAAGTAGACAAGGATAAAAATGGGTGAAAAACAGAATAATGGGAGATCTAGCAAAAGCTTAAATAAAAGAATCAGTACTTTGGAGGCAATTCCTTTTCACTATTCTTCATGTAACATGCACATATGCACTAAATCCATACCATATGCTGCCGTGATTTTTTTTTTTAAAGTTATCTTAGCCAACTTTCTAAACGATATTGGCAGTGAAAATATCACTGTGAATTTCAGAAGATGAAAAATGAGCAAAAAATAGCCCTCATTTATAAAACAGTACCTGACGACAAGTGCACCTGAGTTACAAACACGTTCTCTGCTGTAATTTAATCTTGGAAAGAACTATCTTGCAGCTTATTTCACTCAATCGCGATCAAAACTCCACTACTACTATTGAAACAACTGAATTTATTAAATTTATTTTATTATTTTTTTTAAATCCAGACCAGGAGTGAGTTGTTTGCTTTTAAGATGGTGACAAGCTATATTAATACATGAGGTAGCACAAGTGTTATGTTACAGATATGATAAATGAGAGAAGTTCCCTAAACCAGCAGAGGTCAGAGCAAGAAACATGCTGCCACTTCCTGCACTGACTGATGGTGAGTGGACACAACACAGGAATGGGAAAGGTACCAGTTACTAACATGAGATGCACAAGAAACTGCACAACTAGAGTACCACAGGAAAAGAATGAAAAGGCAAGGAGGGGCAAATGACAAGGAAAGGTCTCTCAAAGTAAAATGGCAAGTTCTGTTCTTAAAAGAGAAAGAATGCCTAAACGCAGTTTTCGCTACCATGAGATTAAATGGCACATTATACATGGGCAAACATAAAGGGGTCTTAATGCAGCAAGGATATATTTCATAATGAAAATAATATGGTGCTACACTTCAAGAACTTGAAAATTTGGAGAAGTACCACCTGTCAGCAACAAAAAATAAAATGCACCTTGTTATAGTGGATGTATACCTGAACTGTAACTTCTAGAACACAGAAAATTTTTATGATATAAAGCGAGGTAGCCTGTCTCTCTAGTCAGTATTTAAATACTTCAGATTAATATAATCTCAATTATTTTTGTACTTCAAATTGTTCTATTGTAGCATGAGAAATTTTGTTAAAAAAAAAGTTGCACATAGGACAATACTGTACATTTTTTTCCATACCTCCTTATTTACTTTTAGGTGGAACATGTGTGTAAGGTCAATAATCACATAGATTATTAAATCAGATCTCATAGCACAAACAACTGTACAAATACTTATCAGTAAGATAACTGAACTACTATATGGCTAGTTCTACATATGATCTTCTGAGGTAATTAAATACGTTAATAAAAGTCCTATTGTTGTGGAGCGTACAATTTCTTAAGTCACATAGTAAGACTGAAAGAGTTGAAGAAAAATAAAGGTTTATACAATATCTCTTGAAAAAAAATTAGTCAAAAATCAGAGAACGGAGTTTAGAATGGGCTTCCAATCTCTTCTGGTCTACCTCAACACACTGGAGCTTCAAAACCACCCATAATTTCCATTCTGTCCCACAAGGCTGCTCTTAGTGGGTTCATTTTCTAAGAAATTCTCCCTAAGTAAATTTTTGACTTAAAATAAACCAGTCTTTTGTGCAACAAGTCTTGAAAACATCTTTTTCCAATCCTGTTTTATTATAAAAAAGGTTGACTGGGTAAATTCAACATATCTGGAATTCAACTGGAAGAAGTCTTTCTTAAGACTCATGAAATATGGTCCAAGACTTTAACGTTTGGTTTGGTTTTTGTTTCGAAATTGTCTGGGGAGAAAATGTCGAAAAGATGGTCAGGAGAGTGACTAAAACTTGCCTTCCTTCTCTGTAGAAAGAAGATACAAACTGTGGCTATCTTTAAGTGAACTGCAGCTAAAACAATCTAGATTACTTCACAGAATCAGAGAATGGTTGAGTTGGGAAGGGACCCTAGACATCATCCAGTCTAATGCCACTGCTCAGGGCAGGGTCAACTCTAGCACGTTTCTGAGGGCCAGGTTTCAAATATCCCCAAGAATGGAGACTCCTCCAGCTCTCCAGGCAACAAGTTCAGTGTTCAACCAGTCTTAAATATAAGAAAAAGCTTTTTTTTAAGTTTGAACTCTAATTTCAGTGTGCCCATTGTCTTGCGTCCTTCAGTAGCAACTGTTGAGCAATTCAGTCTGGTTGCCAGTTCTACATATACAAAAAGCAGCAACAAGTAACAGAAATTGCCATGGGAGTTATACTGGGCAAAAACATTTGTTACCACAGCCAAGAAGGTTATGCCCATAAAAGAAAGAAGCAGCACCAAAAAAAACCCAGAAAACCTGAATACAAGACTCAGGAAAAAGAAATTAAATTTTATATACTCAAATTTATATTACATATATAAGAAGTAATTTACAGCATGAAGTTTTCCTGCACCACAGAAATCGTTTATGGAAGAATTATACAGGAGAAAAGGAGGCAGTGAAGATGATGAAAACTACAGAGTAACATGATTTATGCCACAGCCTTGGGGAACAACAATATTAGAAAAGCTTAATTACAACCAAACTACCTTGTCTGCTAAATTAAAGAACATTAAGAGCAACATAACTGGCAGATGAAATTTCACTCTGCTCCTTGTTTGGCAGAAATTTCAGTATCTTTAAATATAGTCTAATTCTGTAAGCAGATTTTGCTTTCATTCTGTTGCCTGTGCGTATATACACTCATTATCCTCAGGGTACCAATACACAACAATGGACTTGAAGAAACTGTTAGATATTTATCTTGATATTAAAGTCAGTGGATCAAGTAGTTTTAAAAAAGAAATCTAACTCCTCAACATTCAGTTGCACAAAAATACAAGTCACATAATTACAGAATTTTGTGTGTTTTTTTTCCTAACTATTTTTCGTTTCTTGAGGAGGGATTTATGGGGACCCAGAAAGCAGGTAGTGAATACAACTTACTTGTAGCAATACAGCGAAGTTTTAATACTAGAGAAGATGCTTCATGAGGAGAAATACTGAAGTCCAGCTCCTTGCTGACTTGTGTCATCCGTTTTCTATGCACCCACCTCACTCTACCACAGTAACTCCAAATCCTGGTCTCGTACCTCCTGCATCCCAGTCCTTTAAGGCCATTTCGCATCTTCATATCCCACTCCAAAGTATCTCATTTAATACTTTGACTACTGACTTAACAAGAAAGACACAGAAGCTTAGTAGCTTTCTGTATGCTACAGCAAAGCACATGACTGAAAACTCAGTGCACCGCTTCCCTTGACTAGAGGCATTAAGTTAGGCTTCTCCTCTACCCAATCATTTTCAAAAAACTTTAAACCCAAAGGAAAGAAGTGCCTGTCAAGCTTGAATGCAAGTGTTCAAAAGACACAAACTGTGAAAAGGGAAAACATTTCCCGAAAGAAAGTTATCACTTATTTTACCAAGCAATTGAAAAACAATTCTCAACCTTTATTTCTTACCATGAAGGCCTAAAGACCTCCACAGTATGGCCAGCTGACTAAAAGAACATTGATGGATAAAAAAATGACAAAACAGAATCTATTAATTTCTAGCTATCAGAATGCTAGTAAAGGAAAAAGAAATGAACACTGAAAAGAAACACTTTCCTAGTATCTGTGCACTTTTCCCACTCTAACTCATCCAGTTTCCAGTTACGTTGGCCACTAGAAAACACAAATA